AAGAAAGAAAGAAAGAAAGAAAGAAAGAAAGAAAGAAAGAAAGAAAGGGAGAAAGATCCAGAAAACAATTCTATTAGTGAGGGTATAAAGGAAACAGCTTCAAAAGGAAATAGTGTATAGTCAATTAAATTCAAACAGAAGCACGTGTCTCCCAACCATTCGACTTCTGGGACCGGACTTGTGGCAAAGCAGCGATTGGTCCCACGTGTGCATAGAGGGGCAGGCGCAGCAGCAAGACGCGCTTCTTGTACAACTGAGTATAACGGGGGGGGGGGTAGGAGGGGGGGTCGAGGAAGGATCTGATGGCGGTTGTAAAAGGATGAAGGTGAGGATCCCAGGCAAAGCTGCCGATAAGGGACACATCCTCTGAGGTGCCCTGTGGCGAGTCTTCACAGAGACAGAAAGCACAGTAGTGGTAGGGAGGGGGTGTTCCAAGATCCTACGGATGTCATAGGTTTGGGAGCAGGTGAGAGGATGGAAAGACTCTGGAGGTGGGCTGGCGACCATCACGTGACTGTGCGCACCGCACGGGTACACCCGGAAATAACTACAGGGGCCAGGGAAAGGTTCCACAGGAATGGAAAGATTAGAGAAATTTAGGCACAGGTGGCGCTTGAATCATTTCCTTAATTAAGACAACCCCCCTCTCTGTGTCTCTCCCTCTGTGTCTCTCTGTCTGTGTCTCTCTGTCTGTCTCTTGCTCCCTATAGACTGGGTATTGAACCAAAGACTTTGCAACTTGTCATCAAAGTGTTCTACAACCGAGGCACATTCTGGCCTCCCTTCTACTTTTTATGTTGCAACAGTGTCTCACTAAATTGCCCAGGTTGGTCTTGAACTCACTTTGTAGTGCAGGTGGGTCTGGAACTTGTGATCCTCCTGCCTCAGTCTCTTGAGTAGTTTGGGATTCCAGGTTGCAACACCAGGCCCAGCACTGAGCCATCTCTCTTTCTTCTTCCTCCTGCTTTTCTTCTCTTGCCCACTCTCTTGGTTAGTATACTAAGAAATAGGTTGCACTGTTATATTCTGTCTCTGTCTCTGTCTCTGTCTCTCTCTGTCTCTCTGTCTGTCTCTGTCTCTGTCTCTCTCTCTCTCTCTCACACACACACACACACACACACACACAAATACACACACAGCAGAAGCAGGAACATCTCTCTAAATTCAAGGCCAGATTGGCCTATAAAGCCAGTTCCAGGCCAGCCAGGGCTACACAGATCAATCAATCAATCAATCAAAAGATAAACAGAACCCTGTGAACCTGAGTTAGGATCCCAGAAGCCTCATAAAAAGTCCGGTCTGACTTTGTTGCCTGAACTTCAGGGCTGTAGGGACTTTAGTCAGAGACCCTACTTCAAAGCCATAAAGGAGAAAGTAAGGACAGACATCTGAGCCCTCCTTTGGCCTTTTCAGGCTGGTATATATACATATACATACACTGCACACATGCACACACATGCACACATACACTCTGTATATGTAAGAGTTCACACATAGAATTGCTTGCTGGGTTGACAGCATCTTCTCAGCGTCCCTTTTCAATGCCAGGCCTCTGAGAAAAGCTTCTCATTCTGCAGGCACTGAGGACTCTGGAACTCTCCCCCCTGTGCCACCTTAGTGCAAAAGCATCCAGAGACAATAACAGTCTTTTTGTTTTGTTCTTTTGTTTTTTAAAGATTTATTTATTATATGGATGTGAGCACAATGCAGCTGTCTTCAGATGCACCAGAAGAGGGCGTCAGATCTCATCACAGATGGTTGTGAGCCACCTTGTGGTTGCTGGGAATTGAACTCGGGACTTATGAAAGAACAGTTGGTGTTCTTAACCAGTGAGCCATCTCACCAGCCCCCCCCCCCCCCCAGCATATTCAATAGTTTAGAATGAAACTTTATTTACTACAAAAGCAGGTGGCAAAGCCTACTTGGGCTCTTGCCCCTTCTTTGCTAAACCCACTTCGGTCCACCCTGAAGTCAGAACATAAGCAGAAGGGCCAGGCTTCGCAAACCTTAGGACAGCAACCAGGACAATGACTCCTACAGTGTGACCTATCAACACATGTGTCTTTAGCTCAACAAAACAAAGGCAGGAAGACAAGAGGACACTGGTAGGAAGTCTGTGACACGCTTTGTGTTCTGTGGTCATGCCTGGCACTTGGCTATGGTTTTTAGGAACTCTCTTACTTTGTGGCTTTCTGTGTTGGCACACGTTTTTTGTTTTTTGTTTTTTTGCATCGATTAATGGTGCATGAAGTTCACCATCAACACTTCAGTGGATTTCTTTTGGTAAAGCCATTGCCCCCTGGTGTGTCTGTGTGTGTGTGTGTTCTGCGTGTACATGTATACATGAACATGCCTGCTCATGTGTGCAGGTGTGTGCGTGTGTGTTCTGTGCATGTGTATATACATGTGTGTGTGTCTGTGTAACGTTCAGGTGAGCTGCTCTGTGACTATCTTATTCCCCTGATTAAACATCCTCCACTAAATCTACAGTTATGCTGGCAGCCATCCTCCTGCCTCAGCTCCCTGGGGAACACCGGCACTACAGCTTTTTTACTTGGGTGTTGGTGATTCAAACTTAGGGCCTCCTGTCTGTACGGCAGGTACTCTTATCTATGGAGCCATCTCCCCACTCTCTGTCTTATTTTTCAAAAGAGAATTTTGAAAACTCTAGAAATGGCCAAGACAGAGTCCCAAGGGGCCATTTGGTGCCCGTGAAAGGTGCCACCAGCCTGGAGGAAGTAGCCACATTGTGGGAGATACACTGGGGTTGAGCAGGGGTAGTTGGAAGAGAGTGCTGGGTCAGAGAGGCAGAAGAGCACCAGACATCCCCAGGCCCTGAGGAACAAGACCTAGGTCCTGGAGACAAGGCTATGATTAGGACTGTTTGATCATCGCAGCAAACAAGCTAGTCCCCAGGCATGGCTGACAGAACTCTGCTCCTAACGTACCCCTCTCTACTCCCCTCAGCTCAGAACCTGTATATCTGTCCACTTGTGTCAGGTGGTCAGTTTCCCCCACGAGATTACTTCCACCACTCCCTCAAATTTGAACTACCTACCCAGGATGTGGAGATTATACTCAATGGGCACATATCGGGGATCAGACGCCATGGTCTGGAGAGTATCGGAACATTTCCAGGCAAGTGTTTAGTACCTCAAGGTTAAAGCTGCAGTGGGTATCAAATGCTTTTCATTCTGTCTCACTTCAGGGACATTCTTATCTCCAACACCCCCCCCCAAATCTAGCCCTTAGTCCATTTTTAGTGGAGGGTTGGGGTGTGTGGTATGACAAAACTTTTCTTGGGGAGATGAGAGGAACTCAAGTAACCAGCACGGATTGGAAACCCACAGCAGACCAAAGTACGCACACCATCGAAGCCCAAATTGGTGAACCAATGAATTTTATTGGGGTTACATACAGGAATCCGGGTAAGGGGTCACTCACAGGAGCAGAAATGACTTCAGTCAGCTGCATCACCAAAGCCCACCACAGCACTGGTGACAGACAGCTCACAAAAGCTGGGACCTTGAATCATAAGTGGCCCAGCCTACAGGCAGCTAACAGGTTAGAGTGTGCCCTTTCCGGGTTCTTCAGCTGGTCTAAAGTTCTTCCAGGCAGCTTGGCTGGTTTCTGCTTCATCTGGGTTCTTTTGTCTGAGTCTTTGAGGCTTGACTCTGCTTCTTCCGGCGCGGCCGGCCCGCCGGCAAGTGATTCTGGTCAGTTTCAGGGAGTTCTTGAGTTCTTGAAGCTACTTTTGTTGTTATTTCCCTGCTTCAGGAAGTGACTGTTATACAACAAAGGAAAAAAGGGAAGGAAGGGAGGAGAGAGAGGGAGGGGAGGGGGAGAGAAAGAGAATGCCCATGGGGGCACTTCTGCCTACTGGGGTATGTGTGAAAGTAATGCTTCCCCCTCCGGCTACAGAATCCAGAGACCAGGTTCCCTTTTGCCCCTTGTCCCTTCCTGCTGCCTCAAGTCTGAATGGGTCACTAGGGCTGGCTAGATTTGCCTTACAGGCTCCTGATGGCTGTTCCCTCTCCTACAGGTTGGTAACACAGTGCGACTGATCCTAAGGATGGATTGAAGGTGTCTGACGGGAGCTGATAGAAAGGTAGGTGGGTCAGGGACCACGCCCCTCTCTGACCACGCCCATCACTGGTGAGGTCAGATGACAGTTAGCAGCTGGCTTCTCCTCTCTATAGGAAGACAGTGCTGGCATCTCTCCCTGAGCTTTCCTTGTAGGAAAAGAAAAATCCCGTATGTTCAGTGTTCCACTAAGAACTAAGCCAAAGAGCTCTTCCGGGTGTTAGAATTGTGGGTTCTAAGATCTCAGAGCCCTACGATCACATTAGAATCCAGGACTCTCTGGCTGTCAAGTTTAATCATACAGTGCTGTGTGACACTGGCTCAAGAGGACGTACACTGGGCATTTCCCCCAGCTTGGTAGCGGCTCTTCCTGGTTGTGTAGAGTTTGGACCATGGGCAGGGCTGGCAGCCCAAGCCTTTGGATCTAGGACCCAGTTCTGCAGCAATTCACTAATCAGTGTCTTTTTGCCTTCTCCAGGTCTTGATAGCCCGGCTGGCTCTTGTCCCTGTGCCCTCTGGGAAGACTTTGCACCTACCCCTCTGCTTGCTCCTCAAGTTTCTAGTACAGTGCTTCCTGCCCTGGTCAGACCTGCTTTTTGTGAGCCTGTGTCCTGACCCTTCTCCCTAAGTGGGGACTAACTGCATCTTCTTGCCCATATTGTGCCTCTGGCCCTGACCTTATAGATGGCCTGTCTTAAGACCTTTCCTCCCTTCAAATTCCTCCACCTGGGCTTCTAGTGCTGCGTGTGGCAGGAGATTTGTCACTTTTTACCTCAGGAGGTCTAGAGTTGCCTCTGGAGGAGGTACAGATAGGGACTCTATGCTCTGTGGGCCTCTGAGCTAACACTGGCAAGAAGTTTACCTGGTGCTGGGGAAAGGACACTCTGTGCTCAGTAGCTTGAAGGCACAGCGGGATACGTACAGAGAGCATCTGGTGTGCTTTTAAGTTCCTTGGCTCCTAGAAGTGATGCTGACCCTAAGCCCGCCCCCAACCCCTCAGCTTGTTTTTAACGAATTAAACTTTACTTTTGCTTAAGATTCTGTGCAGAGCTGGTCTGTGTTTATCCGGGCTCTAGTGCAGAAAGCAGAAGCTGGTCGCTGGTCCCCAAACACTACAGGGACATTTGTGACCTCTTCAGGACGTTTCCACAGTGGAGAGGAGTGGTTAATTGCTCCATTTCAGCAGCAGGGTACCTGAGGGAAGGTTTAGAAGTTGAGGCTGTGTGGGAACTGGGTAACCCTGCACTGAGGACAGGCTAAGAAGATGTGACGTCACATAGAAGGAGAGTGGTCAGTGACCGAGAGCTGACAGTGTGTCATTGCAGGAGGCGCAGTAATACACTACCAACTGGGGGAGAACATGTCCTTGCACAGGAAGACACCAGGTGATGCAGGGAGCACCAGAGAGATAACCCAGGCCAGGTCCTGGGAGTGTGTCCTTCAGCTGATCTACAGGAAAGAAAAGGCACTCCCTCCCTCCCTCCTTCCCAGGAAACCTCCAGCAGATGGAAGCTATAACTTCACAGAGTGAATCTATGTAGGTTCTTCTAGGGCTGGCACTGTAGCTCAGTTGCTGGTGAGCTTGCTAGGCTCACACAGCTTTACGTTTGATCCCTCAGTGTTGCATAAACAGGGTGTCAAACTAGATGTGGATTCCCAGCACTTGGAGGCCAGAGAATGAGAAGTTCAAGGTGATCTTTGTCTAGGTAGTGAGTTCAAAGCCAGACTGGACTACATGAGACTTTGGGACTTTGGTTTTGTTGATTTGAGACTGTCTCTATATCTCGCTCTGTCTCTATCTGTCTCTGTCTCTTTGTATGTGTCTCTGTGTGTGTGTGTGTGTGTGTGTGTGTGTGTGTGTGTGTGTAGCCCCAGCTATCCTGAAACCAGCTCTGAAGTCCCGGCTGGCCTTGAACTCGCAGAGATCCAACTGCCTCTGCCTCCCAAATGCTGGGAGTAAAGGCATGCATCACCACCACTTGGCTGAGACACTGTATTTAAAAGAAAGCTTTTGTAGAGAAGGTAGGGAAATATGTTCATGATCTCTGGGAAGTAAAAACCCCAAACAAGATAACAGCAGCAGCAGGCTGTTAGACCAGTACTGGGTACAAGAACAAATGATTCTGGGGGATTCTCCAAGAACAGAAAAATGAGCAAAGCAGGCAACAAGAGGTGACAGGAACACAGGAGGAAGGCAGGTTTCAAAGCCCAGAGATGCCTACCTTTGTTCTGGGACTAGGAGAAAATCCTGGACCTAAGGATTGTAGCTCTTAGGGCAAGCCTAAGCTCTCTCTAGACCTCTACCTGGAGCAGGCTTTCTGAAATGGGCACTGAGGCAGATCTTGCTTTGTCTTGGGTTGTTCTGAGCAAACACACAGGATTAACAGCAGCATCTCTGACGTCTGCCCACTGGACTAAAGATGTCTCCAGACACTGCCAGATGTCTGGGGGTTGAGAGATTGCTTCCAGCTAAGTACATTGCCCTCGAGATGTACTGGTCCATGTGGGCAAGAGGTGAATACATGGAGGATGCTCAGAGCCGTAAGGGTACCCTGCAGGCGTGACCAAGCTCTGCAGCCTGATACTGCCTCTTCCTGTGAGCAGCTGAGTTGATCTGGGACACTGGTTCCTAGGAGGGTCTCCTCCCTGGTTAGCCTAGCTGGTAACTTGACTAGGTTCAGAATCACTTAGGTGGCTGTTGAGACATCTCCTCGTGTGTATTGAGTGTTTCCAAAGAGAAATAGCCGAGGGGAAGACCACACTGTAGGCGGCACATGGGGCATGCGTGAAGAGCTCCAGTTCCTATTGTGGTAGGCCAGCGAGGACAGGAAGAATGCATGCCTGTTTTCTCTTTCCTCCTCTTTTATTCAGATTGGATCTCATGGCTCATGGGATGGCATACCTGCATGCATGATACCCCACCCCCAATGCCATCATAACTTCCCCAGAGGTGTGCCTCAGTCTCCCAAGAGGAAGCCACCACAGGATGAGAGAGAAAAGTAAACCCAGTCCCATTTCCTCTCGTATGGTGAGACTTGACAGATGTTTTGAGCAAAAAGTGCAGTTTTCTAATCATACAAGAAGTTCTAATCTATAGTGAAGGCTGTGTGATTTATTATGAGGGAAATCACCTTCTCAAATACCTTTGAGCCCGGAGGGGAACCCGGCAAAGTTACATGTTTATAAATTCAAGGTATGAACACCCAAGCTTTCCTTGCATACAAAGTCAGACAGAAAGCTAATGGAAAATTACTTCAAACACTCTGTGAGGCAGATTTTAAAACACAAGTCAGTGATGGCAAAAAAGGCTTAAATGAAAAAGCAGCCATCCTGAAGACCGATCCTGTGACCTGGGCCTTTTAGTTCTAGACTGCAGTTTGTTACCTGTAAAACCAAATGCTCTAAGAAAGCTAGTAGACAGAGTTATTAACAGAGCTTGAGCTAATAGTTCAAAAACTTTAGGTTAATGTAAAAATATATTTTCCAAGGTAACTTACAACTATAGTAAAACAAAACTTTAAAGGTGCTTTTTTTGGATGAACCTGATCCTGAAATAGATGTAGAAATTGTGCCTGTGAGAAAAGCTGAGGGAATTCTGGGTAAGAACAGGAAGGGCAGAATAGCATTATCAGACGTGACCCAGTGACTCACAACAGATCATGGCTCAGCCAGAGCCTGCTACAGGCCTGCCTGTCAAGGGACAGGAGAAGCTGAGGCAGAAGGCTAACACACACAGGAATGGCGTCCATGCACAAGGTCTTAGAGAACGCGGAGTCCAATGTGTACCCTGTTAGCATCAAGATTACTCTGTGCTAAAGACTCTGACAGGCAGTGAGTACAAGTGTCCCTCATATCTTCATTCCTGTTGATCCCTACGTGGTTGATGCCAGCCCCATACCACAGTTAAAGTAACACTTACTAATGCCAGAGATGGGGAGCCAGGCTCACTGTTCTCTCTTCTCATCACCGAACCAAATGTTGGACAATGAACTACTTAAAGATGAGGTTATTCTGAGGGAGTACAGTCCATCGTGGTGCAGAAGGCATGGTGGTCCATGGCTGTACAGTGGCCGAGATGTGACTTAGCCTGTTCACATCTTCGTGGATCAGGCTGAGTGAGCAAGAGAGCAAAGGAGGGAGGGAGGGAAAGGTGGGGGGGCTAGAGCAGACTGGAAGAAGGCTGGGCTTTGACCCTAAAGGGATTCCCCTTCTAGCAAATGCCTTGTGTAGCTAGACTTTATCTCCCAATGGTTGCACAGCCTTGCAGAACTGAACTGCTGGCTGAGGCCTCAAACACAGGAGCCTGTGAAGGACATTCCCCCTTAAGGCTGACCACAGGCTGAGAGAAATCTATGCAAATACATCTCCATCTTCTGAGTCTCCCCTGCTATCAGTTATCCCAAGCCCTTGGCTTGTCCCATTTTCCACTATTTCCAACTTCCAATCCACCTTTAAGGATTTACCCCTGTTTCTGTGTCTCTCCATTCCTTGTGTCGGCTCCTGCCTCACTGGAGACTTCAATCCATGTGTATCTTTTCCTTTTATTAATGTATTTTGTGTCAACTGAAATCTCCTGGAGGGCCCAGGGCCTTAAAAGGGTAGACACCGCTACCCTTTTCAAATACTTTGTTTCCCAAATACAACTGAGGCAGCTTTACAAAGTGCCGGTAAAGGATACATTAAGCACTATACAATTTGTAACAACTGGCTAGCTTTTAATCCCAGCATTCCAAGGACAGAAGCAGGTGGCTCTCGGGGACCCTTGAAGCCAGTGCTTGTTCTACACAGTGAGTTCAGGCCAGCCAGGATTCCATACATATTAAGATCCTGCTTTTAAAGAAAAGAAAAGAAAAGAACAGACAAAAGTAACAATTGGCTAGCCAGAAATTTACAAAAACGTATATGGTTATATTATGGCTTCATTTTTCAAATGAAAATGAACCCCAGATGGACTAACGATTTAAACAAAGGAAATTACAAAGTACTTGCGAAAACATA